TTAATTATGCAAAAAAAAAAATTGTCTGTTAAATACACATCAGCAGGTGCGTTGGCATTTTGAGTGCCACGTCAAGCGAGTTGAGACCGCAGATGTATCGTTTTGCAAAGAATTGAAGGGCGTGATATATTATGCAAAAGTTAAAAGGTTGTGATTAATTTGCAATCTCGATAAAAGGTCATGATATAGCCGCAATTTTGCCTTAAAAAATATATATATATAATTGGGGGCATATTGAAACCCGGAAACCAAAGTGAGTTGGTTTGTGGATTTTTGGGCAACTATTTTCTAAGAAACTGTACAAATAATTACACTTCCTATTTATGCAAGATTTCTGAAAATAATTACACCGGTTTCGAGTTAGTGTTTTAAATTTTTAATAGGTCACCGGTAGGACTAGTGGTCAAATATGTATTTAATTTATTAAATTTTTATATGCATGTCATAATTAATATAATTCTATATATAAAAACATGGTTAATTAAATATTTAGACAATTCAAAATGTTCAAATGTTTTAACTAATTGATAATAACTTACACTTACAATATATATTAAATATATTTGTTTATTTATTTAAAAATATATAGAATACATTAAAATTTATCAAAAACTGGACCGGCTTAATCGGCCCGACCGATTAGTTTTTTGTTGGCTCTGACAGAATTTGACCAGTTCACCGGTCAAAATAAATAATATCTAAAAGTAATTTTATCGTTAAATTTTAGTAGTACAACACTAGTACAACACTCGTGATTACACGTGTTCTAGTTTAATAAAATTGGTTCATCTTTGTTCTTTAAAGTCAAACCTTGTCCAATTATTTAGGAAAAAGATTCATATCAATTTCAAAATCGTTTTCAGCTTTTACAAGGAAAATCATGTGTAACTTTTCAAAATTTGAATGCACCGATTTTTTTTGGATTCTTATGTTTTTTTCTAAACCAGGTTTTATCGAGATTTTGGTATGTGCATATCATTATTATTATTATTATTATTATTATTATTATTATTATTATTATTATTATTATTATTATTATTATTATTATTAT